CTTCCAACATCTCTTGGAGTCAATGCCAAGAAGAATCGCCGCAGTATTGAAGGCAAAAGGTGGCCCAACGCAGTACTGATGGGGTGGTCATAAGAATCTGGCCACTCAGTGTATATACACACATATATGTTTTTTTGTTTGTTTTTATTTTGCTTGAGATAAAGAACGAGAAACCGACCTGTTTAGGAAACACTATCAGAAATCAGCAGAGAGGAGCAAAGGACTCCTCTGGCGAAGTAGGTTTCCTTTGCCTTGGATTTCCTGTCCCCGTTCTGTCCTGGTTAAGGAGATGCTGGTATATTTACAGTCAACCCCAGTTCCAGAAAAGTGAAACAAGCCCAGCACTGGCAGTGAACTTCACTCCCACACACAGAGGAGGAAGCTCTCGTGGTCGTCGTGCCGTTTTTTGGGGGGGGTTTTTGGTGTTTTGTTTTTAAAATATACTTGATTGATTTCTTACAGAGAGGAAGGGAGAGGAAGAGAGATAGAGAGTTAGAAACATCGATGAGAGAGAAACATCAATTCAGCTGCCTTCTGCACACCTCCTACTGGGGATGTGCCCGCAACCAAGGTACATGCCCTTTACCGGAATTGAACCTGGGACCCTTCAGTCCACAGGCCGACGCTCTATCCCCTGAGCCAAACCGGTGAGGGCCGTCGTGCCGTTTTAAGGTGTCACGGTGGGGGTGGCGGGGAGGGAGAGACCATTTTTAAAAAGAAGCATTTGCTTGACTGCCCTCCAGGGAAAGAGCTGGCTTATTGACCCTTCCGGCTAAGGTGGCCTCGATGTGATGGGGTGACTGCAAGGCAGCACACGGCGCAGAACGCGGGACATCCTTAGTCCGGGTGCCGTTCTTCCATCCTGAGTCTTTTCTATTTTATGATGTTAAATTTTTCTCACACACACACTGTGCAGATGTGGGCTCGGCCCAGGGCACAGGCGCAGAGGCAGCTGTAGTCAGTTATGATCCTGAGAGGGGACATCCAAGAAGCCCCCTAGGGGGCCAGGGACCCGGCTAGGGATTCCCACCCACCTGCGCTAGGAAAGACTAGAAGTTGGTTTGTATCTGAACGGAGACTTTCTGTTGGGATCCTCGAGATCAGAGAGACCCCGCCTTCAAGGCCAGCCAGCAGGAAGGTCTTAGAAGCTCCGGGGGAGCGAGGTCAAGCTCACCACTTGTGGACAGGTGTCCTAGGACCACAGCTGCACAGCATTCGAGGTCCTGTCCGGGGGGCTGCGCAGCCTCCATGCACCGGGGTGCAGGGGTGCAGGAATCAGGGGTGCAAAGGCGCAGGGGCACAGAGGTGCAGGGGTGCAGAACTCGGGTGCAGGGGCACGGGGGTGCAAACTCAGGGGTGCAAGGGTGCAGGGGTACAGGGACACAGAGCGTGGAATTAAGCATTTGCAGCGACAAAATCCTGACCCACAGGGCTTCAGCTTCCCAGAGTGACTCCATTAAGATCCTGTAACAAGGCTCCCTAATAGCAAATCAAAGTGAAGCTGGGGATGTTGCCCACAATGACAATAGCCGTGAAAAGGCTTAATTAGTAAAACATTAACTGGCAGGGTTCCTATAAGTAAAAATGTACATATTTAAGGAGGCTGATTGTAACATTTATCCCAGCTATGTTATAATATACTAATTCGAATGTAAAAGTGAATGTAAATTACCAGGAATTATCATGCAGCGGGAAGAAAAGTCCTTTTATCCTCAGCAACTGTAGCATTTGGCAGATTCGGGAATAAATAATCTTTTGTGGCAAGGGTATGCCTTATCAAACATATGCAGATCAGTACTAATTAATGCTAATTAAGGTTTCCTGTCTATCTAGTTGGAAAAACGTCCAAATGTTATGAAATCCAGTTAGGATGCCTATTACGCTAATTGTTTTATATGGGGTGGTTCTTAATTAAAATATGTAAATTGACCTTAATTGCTATCTACTAATGGGGGTTCATGTTATCTCCCTAGAAGTGACAAGATGGTGAGGAGGGGTACTTAAATGACTAATTCTGATAAAAATCCTCCACTAAATGACCTTTACTCAAAACTAATTTTAATTGGAAGTTGGCAGAAGAAACCGTTTTCTTCTTTTTTCCTTTTTCTTTCATTTTTTGCTAATGTGCGCATGTTATTCTGTTTTGTTAAGCTATAGACGCGGTGGTGGGTCGTTAATTAGCCTTAACAAGCAGGTTAATTGGGCGGTTTACTGTTTATAGAGCTCGGATGGTTTGGTGTCGGCAGAGTGGGTTCTCGTGGAGTGGGGGGTCTTAGCTCGAGCCCTGGGGTTGGGTGACCCCGTTAGGATGTCAGGGTGTGTGTGAGCGCTGGGGGAGCCAGCGGTACCGATATGTACTTGTTGGCTCAGGTACCCGAGAACTACCTTTTAGGAAAACATTTTTTCCCTTTATAAGCATTAACTCTTATTCATTGGAATTAAAATCTCGTTGGAAATACTTGGATTAGATGGGCTGAAATGATCCTCTTACATGTCACTCGTCATGTTTTTATTATTCAATTGCAAATAAATTCACATGTGTAGGCCCAACACCAGTAAAAATGAATTTACTTTTTTTTAATTTCTTCTCACTCTGCTGATCTTATCATCACAGGATGTCATTTAAATAAAGCTAACAAATAACTGATTTTACTCTTGCATTTGGAACGAGTTAAGTCTCCACTATTATTTAGAATATATTTTAGTGGGAGAAATGGGACATAGGTAATACTTTCAACAGTAAAGATTTTTTTTTAAGTGTTGATAAAATACATTTTAAAGTTATCCTCTAAAAATGTGAGCAGGGACTGGGTAAAATACTGTCCCGTGGAAATGAGCGCAGAATGAAGATCACGGGTTTTCTGTGTCAGACGGAGGCTCAGTGTCATTACTCTTTCGTTAGGACATCGTGACGAACGTCTCGCCCAGAATCATCCGGGGGACCACCTCCGGCCCCTCCTACGGCCCCGGACAGAGCTCCTTCCTCAACATCGAGCTCATCAGCGAGAAGACGGCCGCCTATTGGTGTCAGAGTGTCACGGAGCTCAAGGCCGACTTCCCGGACCGCGTAAGTGTGATTTAACGTCTAAAACTAAAGAATTGGCATTAAGTTGGTGAATGTTTATTTAAACATCAATTCATAGGCTTATAAATATTAATGCATATAGTATATTTTATTAAAGCATCTGCCAGTGGCTTTGCTGATGCACAGAAAGATAAAAAAGAAAGAAAAGCCCGAGAACTCATAAAACCCCGTGCCGCGCGGGGCCCGGTTATAAATGAGGCCTCGCGGAGGGAAGAGGCATCTGCATAAGCGGGGGGAGCAGCAGGAATGAGCTGAGCTATTGGGCTGCTTTTCACTCTCCATGGCTGGTGCTCATGAAGGTGGCGACCTTCCCGAGGAATTGCAGACTCTCAATCACTGTAAATTCAAACCCGAGGCAGGAGCCCAGGATCTGCTTGTAAAGTTTATTTCTGTGTTTTCAGTGGGAAATAATTTGCCAGATAATTTTAACACCCTTCACACTAAATGAGTCAATGATCTTTTTACTTCTAAAGTCCCGAGCACAGATATTACAGTAAAGTCGGGCTCACACATTCTTTGTGGACTTTTCTATGTCGTCTGTAGTTTTTTACCCTGTAGATAGTATTTTCTCTTCAGTAATTGGTTGGAGTTGTTCTTAACGTTACTCATTCATTCTCTCTCTTTCCCTCCTCCCATCTCTCCCCCTCCACATACACAAATGAACACATCTCTCTCTCTCTCTCTCTCTCTCCTCTCTCCTCTCTCCTCTCCTTTCTCTCTCTCCCTCTCCCCCTCCCTCGCTACCTTCCTCTCTCCTTCCCTCTCTGTCTGAATGAGCTGGTGGTAAATTAAAGTTTAGGGCAGTGTGTGTGGGTGTGTGTGTGTGTGTGTGCGCGCGCACATATGCATGCGCACATGTGTGTTGTAGAAAAGACTTTTTTTCATCAGTTCATGGAAGATAAATAAGAATACTTCAAGTATTCTAATGATATATATTTTAAAATCTAATGAAACTGTGGATGTTCCCCCCAAAAAACTGATAGAAGGAAAACTTACAAGGGACTTCGGATGTCCCACTGTTGCCTGAGCCATCCAGTCCTATTTTCTTATAGGAAGCGCTTACCTTGAAACAAAGTGTAATAACATAGAACATAATTCATCTCCCTCGAGTCGGCCTTTCGGACGTGCAGGGACCCAGACCCCCCTGAAATCTATAGCTTCCGCTTATTTGGAGTTTTTCATTTTCTGGGCTTGATCTTGCAATTACTTGTGTTTTTTCATTATGCTGTCGTGTCTAATGACCACCATGTTGAGTTATTTGATTTTTAATGGACACACATCTTTGGGGAAGCTTTTCTCAGAACGACACGGACAAAAGGTAGTCAGCCATAAAAGTATTCAGTATATTGTTAAACTTGGTCTAGAGCAGGGGTGGGAATGTCTGACCTTGCCAAGGCATTTGGGTGAATTTATTAAATGTTTGACCAAACAAAGAAGGCTAATTTCTAAGTTGATCATTTTGTATGGCCAGAGAACGATGCTATCAATATCCAAGTGACCCTTGGCAGAAAAAAGGTTCGCCACCCCTGGCCTAGAGTATTAAGTACTATGCTAGGTACTAAACATGCAAGAAAATAATAATGATAATAATCTATATATATAAAAGCCTAAGCAACCATTCGACCGTTTGACCGGTAGCTATGACGCACAATGACCGCCAGGGGGCAGGCAGTCTGACAGGTAGGTTAGGTTGCTGCTGGGGCCCTGT